AGACCGCATCACACCCTGTCCAACCAATTAATGCCAGCGTATCCTGCCCTAGCAGTCCCTGCTGGGTCGGTTACGTGAAGTAAGAAAAAGAAAAAGTAAACGCGGAAGGCAAAAGAGAAAGTGGTAAGAGCTAAGCAAGTGGAATACCAAGATATTTGAGTCAATAAAAAAGAACTGAAAAGTGAAGGTGAGTCAGCTAGGAAAAAGGAAAGGTTTGCTGTTGCCACCCAAGAGCATCGAGCTGGCGCTCAAAACCCTAACTGTGGGTTCCCTAACCACATGATCTGGAAGCGAATTCCAGCGATCTATAACTCGGCGCGATAGCCCAGTTTCCGTCCTAATCCTATCAGACCGTGGTTTATGCAGTTTCAGTGGGTGACCGCGGAGACTAGGTAACGTAGCGGGACTAAAAAGCCCTGACAAGTCCGGGCCAAGCTTACCCGTCAAAATACGATAAGTGAGAATCAGGTCCCCTCTTATCCTTCCGTAGTGCATGGAGTACATACCCAAACTGAGCAAGCGTTCAGGATACGTCTGTCCCCGTAGATCCTGCACTAACCGAGTGCCCACTCGTAACACCCTCTCCAAGTCCATTTTGTCTCGGTTAAGACATGGTGGACAAGCCTGAATACAATATTCCAGGTGGGGTCGGACGAATGCCGAAAATAGCTTCACAAACAACTTAGCCGTTAAGATTCCGAAAGAGCGGCGGATAAACCACATCATACGAAACCCTCGACAAGCAACCTTCTTGCAGTTGTCTCCAGAATGAAGTGCTGATGCGTGTACGACTCCTAAATCAACCTGCTGAGTGACAACAGGGAGTTCATGACCACTGACGACATATCGGGTGGGAGGATTTGCAGCTTTGCTTCGGAGAACAGAGCACTTCGCCCTATTTATGGGCATCAACCATAAGCTAGACCATTCCCAGAGCCTATCCAAGGCACGCTGAATTGCCTCAGGACCCCCCGGGATATCCACAATATTCCAGAGCTTAAGGTCGTCAGCAAACATTAATGATGACACCCCTAGCTCTCCCGGCAAGTCATTTACATAGATCGCGAACAACAATGGCCCCAATACCGAGCCCTGCGGAACGCCACTAAGGACAGCTTGCCTGAGCGAAAGGCTACTCCCCACCCGTACGCACTGTTCCCTCCCCTCAAGGAAGGCAGACACCCATTGAAGGGCGCGACCAGATATCCCGTAAGATCTAAATTTTAGTGAGAGCCGAAGATGTGGATCAGTGTCAAAAGCTTTCGAAAAATCTACGAATAGCACGTCTACAGCGTGGCCACTGTCTACCGCTTTGGCCCAGCTTTCACGAGCTACAAGTAAATAAGTCTGACATGAAAATCCTTTGTGGAATCCATGTTGTGCAACACTGAGAAGCTTGAATCGATTCAGGTGGTTCTCCAATGAATCCCTTATCAGCCTCTCCAACAACTTGACTACTACGCTTGTCAAACTGACGGGCCGGTAGTTCGCGGGTAGAGCGCTGTCACCGCCCTTAAAAATCGGACAGATGATTGCCTCCTTCCATTCCGAAGGTAGGCTGCAGTTGTACAGCGATATTAAAAATACGCACGTGAGCGGACCACTCAGCTCAGTGGCCAGTTCATGTGAAAGCTTCGGATGAATTGAATCAGGACCGGAAGCTTTAGAGGGATTAATGCCTTGCAGTAGCTCGAAGACCTGATTCTCCGTTGTGCTAAATTCAGCTAAGCAAGAATCCTCTGGAACTCTTGAAACCAATTCAACCTGCGGTAAAGAGGTCTCCCGAGCAGACCCCAGTATACTGATCACTCAGTATACAAGCCTTGTCATAGTCAGTTTGCGCACGGGTCCCGTCTGCTCGCAATAAAGCTGGTATAGACAGTTTTGCCCCACTGCTTCTTTTAACGTAAGCAAAAAGCTTCTTGGGATTAGCTGCAGCCGAGTCCGCTAAACCCTGCTCGTATTGGAGACGAGCAGTTCAGTGATGTTGCTTACATTTATTTCTATTCTCTCGATAACTATCATAGGTACTGGCTGATGGAGCTGCTTGGTAGGTTCGTCAGCATCTAGACCGTTTCTTGAGTAGGTACTTGCCTGTGGTATCTATCCATGGAGGCTGTGCCCTTAACCCTCTTTTCCTAATGAGTGGAATATAGGGAGTGGAAACCTCCGTAAGGTATGCCTTAAATTTATCCCAGGCTAACTGGACAGAGTCAGCCATCGAGATCTCACAGTTCAGAACTGAAGCCTTAGTTCGCATTGCACTAAAGTCCGCCCGCCAAATATTCGGAAGTAATTCAACAGCGGTCTCTTGGTGCCTTGAAAGAGCACATCGAAAGGATATGCATGCGTGATCGCTAGACTCTAGAGGTGCACCGCATGAAACGTCAGTCACGAAGTCCAGGGACTTAGCGAAAACCAAATCCAAAGTAGATGGTATTTGGTTGTCCATATACCTAGTGGGAAAGTCAACGAACTGGTGCAAAGGCACTTGGAGAGTCAGTTCAAGGAAGTCTGCACCGAATGTTCCTAATGCCGAATTGCAAGAAAGATCGGCCCAACAGACTTCCGGGAGGTTGACATCCCCTAGAACTAAACACTTATTCGCAGACTGAGTGCGAATAAAGTCAAGTATCCCCCTGGAGGAACTTTTAGGACTTCTGTATATCACTATAACTGTAAACTGGGTAGGGGAAGTGCACAAAACAGCCGATAGGGCTTCAACAGTCTGATCCGACGGCTGGAATGTGCAAGTCCTCAACACATCTAAGTTACAGCTCACATACAGTACAACGCCTTCGCCTTGGCGACCAACGGGGCGATCAGTTCTAAGCAGCGCGTAGCCAGGTAAATATACCTCACCGTCCGTGATATCCGGAGACAACCACGTCTCAGTGAAAGCAAGTATGTCAGGACGAAATTTGTCTACAAGTAGACCCAACTCGTGCACCTTGTTCCTTAGGCTACGCACGTTGCTAAGTACTACCTCAAGGAAGTCGGCACGACCATCCCTGGGTCGTGCGCCATCAGGATTGGTTCTGATAGGGCGGAAAGTAACTCCGGCTGACCACCTGAAAACCCACCAGACGGAGGCCTTGCTCACCAGCCGCCCGTCTAGTTTTGAGGTCTTTGATAGCCTCCTTTAACTTCAACCTATCTGCCAGTGGTAGGTCCGGCTGAACGCTGACACCACTACCCTTAAGTTTGAATGCAAATCGCAGTAACGATTTGCGTTCCTCCGGGGTAGAAAGGACTACGCGAAGTAGTCGGGGTCGTGGATTTGGCGCAGCGACAGGAACGTTCCCCAATCTGGTCAGCTTTCTGACAGTGACACCAGGGAAACCAGGTGGAAGCAGCTTGCTGACACACAGTTTCAGCCACTTGATGTCATCCAAGATGCGTTCCCTTGGGAGAACGGCCTCAGATTCAGTAACGTTACGGAATATAACGCTACTATCAGTGAAAGAGTCGGCACGACGGGAGTGTTTACCCCACGTGCCTTGGAGTCGACAACTGTACCAGCTGTTTTCACCACTGGCGGTGGGACTGTCCCTGGCTTCCCAAACGACGCCGAAGCAACGGTAGCGTAGGTTTTCCGCTCTATTGCCGGCGTCTTACTGGTTCCTGGGTCTTCAAGCCCCTTCGAAGTTTTACGAGCAGATCTTGTCCGCTTCTTCTTTTGGCTCACTGGAGCAGGGGCCGTTGACTTTGTATCGCATTGAGCAGTTACCAGCATTTCGTCAGAACAGGCTGGTTCACTGGCGGCCGAGACAGTCAGCGTCTGTGGAAAGTTCTGTGTGCAATCGTCAGACGAGTTTATGACTGTCAAAGACGGCATCTCTTTCGATGCCGTGGCAACTATTTCTCTGGGTTTAGCAGAGGGCTTTTGGTATTTCCGCACCCTATTTTTCTTCACTTTGATCGGATCATGAGGACCGCCAGCAATGCTACCTGGATTGGCCGGTAGGATGTGCGACTTTATGACCGATTGACAGACTCCAGTGGATGGATCGTCAGCAATGTTGCCGGCTATTGCTGTGTCTTCAAACGAAATATTTAGGGATTTTAAAATCAAATCCATTTTCGTATCGAGCGAAGCAATAGAGGCGAGTTTAGCTATCGCCAACTCAACATCTGCCAACCTTGAAGCCAACGCTGAAAGTTTAGCACCGGTGACAGCCAGGCGCGTCGATCTTTTAGCGCAGCATTCAGCACAGCTGAAAAGAAAGTGGACGCTTGATGATAGCATTTTGTACTGGTCAGCTTGTAGGCCGGTACAGCTTTCGTGATACCAGCGGCAGCAGACGTCACACTGCATACCACCAGATGCATCTGTTACTGGCTCTGAACAGTTAACCTGTCCGCAAGCTGCAGTAGACTCATCAAACGAGGACCCATAGGTCCATCCGTCTCGGTGTTTAGCGAGACAGCCATGTTCATGTGGAAAACAGATTAGAATTACAACACGTATACAATAGGAAAACGAAGGCAATAAAAAGACAAAAACAGGGTGCAAAACGGGATTAAAACTGGGAACAACCGGAAAAATTACCAGTAAGCGCCAAAGACGCTTTGGCCAGTACCAATTTAATCGATCCAAGATATCTTGGACCAGGGAAAATTTGACAAAAGTCAAATTTCGTTTCAAGTGTTTATGCAAACACGGTTTTTCACGTTATCTCAGCTGAAAAGCTCGATCAGATTGGTACGCCAAAAAATCGAGTTACCGCCTGCGTGTCCCGCGCCGCTGCTCCTGTTGTCTGCAAACGCAAGCATTGTGTCAGATTTTCATTCACTTTCATTTGCGCCTCCATTTGAGCTTGTTGTTGGCAAAGCAGCTTTTGAAATCGTTCAGCAGAAATATTCATCACATTTGCAATTTTCTCCGTCGCAATTTGATATAATCTTCTCACTAATCGCAACTCCAAGAATAGCAATTTACTGCTCTACAAAACTTATAGCTCAACCGCAAGAAAAAAAGCAAAACGCCAATGACCTTGACAAAATAATGTATTAACCGCCGAAAACTGTACAAAGACTGCGGACCTTGGCTCTCCTTGTAGGTCTCCTACTGACCTTTGACTGCTAGAATTGGAAGGTCAGCTACCAAGGTTATTGGTTCCCCATTTCTTTCGGTTTTTAATCGCGTGCAAAACTAGAACATACCGGAACTTTCGAAGTCCATGCGATAATCGTTAATAATCGATTAATCGCTAAAATACTGGATTTCCAAGGCAATTCTTACTTTCTCCAGGACAAGGTTCCAGACGTGCCAAACGGCACTGTACAGATTAGCACTAGCTGTTAGCTGCTTCGGGCTTTACTTCGCACCATCGAAGTGCAAAGTGTTCCTCCAAGATTGGTCTGGACCGCCTCCTTCGCTGACCCTTGGTGGGGATCAGCTAGAAGTCGTTCGAAAATTCAACCACCTGGGAAGTTGTATCAGCGCCCGTGGGATTGAAGATGAGATCACGAACTGTATAGCGAAAGCTCGAAGCGCTTTTGCTAACCTTCGCCACTTATGGCGCCGGCGCGACATCACTCTCGCCCTGAAGGGTAGAGTGTACAATGCAGCGGTACGTTCGACCCTACTGTACGGTTGTGAAACTTGGCCCCTTAGATCAGCGGACATAAAGAGGCTAGTTACGTTCGACCACCGGTGCCTTCGCAATTTAGCTCACATCTGGTGGGAACACCGCGCGAGCAACGAGCGTGTTCGACACTTTGTTTACGGCACAGGAAAACGAAATGAACCGCTCAGCACCGTTATTTCACGTACCAACCTCCGATGGCTCGGCCACGTGTTACGCATTCCAGCCCACCGACTCCCGCGACATGCGTTGTTTGCGCGCCGAGGGTGTGGATAGAAGAAGAGGAGAGGTGGTCAAGCGATGACTTGGTCGAGAGTAATGAAGGCCCTCACTTCGGAACTAGCTTCGGTTGGAGCGTCTCGGCTCCCTGGTTGGGGTCCGAAAGACGATGAACATGTTTGGCTGGATACACTTGCTGATATGTTTAGGTGCCGACCTCAGTGGCGTTCGTGTTGTTAGTTTCTTTGTCCCACCCCATCCCTCTTAGCCTTCCCCTCCAACCACGATCTCATTATTTAGCATTTTATAATTTTGCATAGGAAAGTACTTTTATTTGCCGCATGGTAGCCGGCAGGTTGCTTACCGGAACGGTGCCCCATCCGTTACCGGTAGCTCAGCTGGCTTGCACCTGTTGCATTTTATTCCCTTTTTTCTTTTAGGTATTGCGGCACAGCAGCTGAGGTGTTTCCGTACCTTTAGCTAACGTGTATAGTGTGTGATTCGCTCCGGCGGTATGTAGACTAAATGTGGTACCATACAGAAGATTTCGATGGTTCCTGCGAAAAGATAACATACAAAAGTTAAGGCTTTAAATTGTCCCGCGCTTGAATCCCTGGAAGAAGGCTTCACCGCATTTCAAAATCATTTAGATTCAGATTGGACTGGAACGACAGGAAAATCCCTTGAGTGTTTCTCCCTGAGCGGATCGTTGAGCCGGAAAATTATAAGGTGCTAGGAGGTCCTGATGGATCTAAAACGAAACAGCCGAACCGCACCCTGGTCAACTAATTACTGCCCACGTTCCCTGCACTAGCAGTCCCCGCTGTGTAGGTCACGTGAATTAAGACGTAGAAAGAAAATAGAAGATAAAGCGGAAGAAAAGTCATTTAAACGAAGGATAACACCAAAGAGTAAGGCGAATGACAAAATATGAATTCAAAGTTGAAAAGGGATATGGTCAGGAGAAGGGAAAGGTTTCGTGTTGCCACCCAAGAGCGTCTAACTGACGCTCGAAACCTTTAACCGTAGGTTCACTGACTACACTTTCTGGAAGCGATTTCCAGCGCTCGAGAACTCTACGCGATAACCGAGTTTCCGCCCTGATCCGGTCGAAACGCGGCTTGCGTAGCTTCATGGGATAACAGCGAAGACAAGGCAGCCTAGCCGCGCTAAATAACCAGCTCAAATCCGGTGCAACATTCCCTGCTAAGATGTGGTAAGTATTAGGTCTTATCGAAGCCGTCAGTAGTGCATTGAACACACCCAAGATAAGTAGACGCTCGGGGTACGTTTGCCTCTCGTAACCCCTCGAACAATTTGGTACCTACTCTCAAAACTCTCGAGCTCCATTTTGTCCCGAACAAGGCAAGGCGGGCAAGCCAGGACGCAGTATTTCGGATGGGGCCTAAAGAAAACTGAGAACAGCTTCACAAAGATGTCGGCAGTTAAGACCAGGAAAGAGCGGTGTATTAACAAAAACATTCTGAAACCCCTATTTGTGGCCTTCTTCCAACTGTCACCAGAATGCAAAAACGAGGAAAGGACACGCCTAGGTCTACCTGGTTGGATACAAGGGAAAGTCCGACCCCACTGAACACGTACCTCAAAGGTGGGAAAGTTCCTCTTATACGAAGGACGGAACACAACTTGATTAACGGGCAGTAGCCACAAAGTAGACCAGTCTCAGAGTCTGTGCAGAGCATGCAGAATTGCCTCAGAAACCCCAGGGAAATTTACAACATTCCATAGCTTAAGGTCATCAGCAAACAATAGCCATGATACCCCAAGCTCCCCAGGGAGATCGTTTACTCAGATGGAGAACAGCACCGGTCCAACGACCGAGCTTCGTGAGACACCGCTAAGGACCGCTTGCCTAAAGGATAAGCTGCGACCCACACGTACACTACTCTCTTCCCAGCAAGAATGCAGACACCCAGTGAAGGGCGCGGCCACGTACGTCGTAGGAGCTCAGCTTTTGTGATGGCCTCAAGTGGAGTACCTTATCAAATGCTTTCGAGAAGTCGACGAAAAGCACATCCACTACGTGGCCATTGTCCACTGCCTTGGCCCAAGCTTCACGAACAACCAACTGATTCGTCAGACACGAAAACTCCTTCCGGAATCCGTGTTGTGCACTACTGAGTAGTTTAAATCTATTCAGGTGACCTTCCAACGAATCTCACCAGCTTTTCAAGCAGTTTAACCTCGACACTAGTCAGACTGATTGGCCTATAATTGGCAGACAGACTCCTGTCGCCATTTTTGAAGATAGGACAGATGACAGCCTTTTTCCATTCAGAAGGTAATGTACAGCTGTCAAGTGACTTCTGAAACACCATCGTCAGCGGTCCACTTAGTTCCACCACAAACTCATGCAGAAGCTTCGGATGAATTGAATCAGGTCCAGCTGCTTTAGAAAGGTTCAGTACTTGCAGCAGCCTAAGGACTTGCGTTTCAACCACCGTAAACTCAGCTAAATAAGAATCCTCAGGTACTCTGAGGACCAGGTCAACGCTAGTCAACGCAGCTTCACGTACAAAAGCCCCTGCATACTGCTCACCAAGTACACGAGCCTTATCTGAGTCCGCATACGCATGAGTTCCATCGGCTCGCATCAAAGTTGGAATTACCGAATTTGAACCACAGCGTCTCTTAACATAAGCGAAGAACTTCGGGTTTTCCGAAGCTCCATCAACCAATACCTTTCCGTACAACAGCCGAGCTTTCCTCAGGTGTTGTTTACATCTATTTCTAGCCTCGCGGTACCTACCATAGGTGCTTGTAGTGGAGTGAAAACTAGTCTTACACTACCGCACCAGAAGGAAAGGATTAGTGTCAGATAAAAGTATCAACACACTGACCTTCAGTAGTGACGGTTGGACTAACTCCACTGATATTGCACACTCCCTGATACGATATTCCAGAGTTGGTTCCGCGAAGCTCAAACTTTCCAAGCACACCAACAAGGCAATCTCAACACGCCGCCGAAGGAAAGCAGAACGCGCCGTTCGAGGTCGAGAATTGTGTATATGTAAAAAACGATCAATTAAAACAACTGTACACGACGCACAGGAAAACGAAATGAGGAAAGCGCAAAAAATGAAAAAGCTATGAACACAACATGCTAGTTGATGGAGCCGCACGGCAGGTGCTCCAGCACTTCTGGAGCAGGTACTTTCCAGTGGTATCTATCCACGGCGGCCGCGCTCGTGTCCACTTTCTCCTCGCAAGCGGGATGTAGGGAGTAGACACTTCGTGAGATAAGACTGAAATTTATCCCAGGCCGCCTGAACCGTATCGGCCATCGAGATTTCGCAACGCAACCCAGAAGCCTTGATACGCATTGCCTGATAGTTAGTACGCCATATGTTTGGATATGGCTCAGCCTTGCTCTGGTGACGTCTGGTCAAAGCACAAATGAATGATAAAGAGACATGATCGCTGGCACCTAAGGGAGAGCTGTAAGTGATGTCACCTACGAAGTCTAGTGACTGGGCAAAAACTAGATCCAAAATAGACGGTAGTTGGGCATCCATGTACCTAGTGGGGATATCCACGAACTGATGCAACGGTACTTGTAGCGTAAGCTCAAGAAGATCTGCACCGAAAGTACCTTCTGCCAAGTTGCAAGAAAGATCTGCCCAGCAATCTTCCGGTAGATTGAGATCCCCCAGTAACAAATACCTGTTTTCGGACTGGGAGCGAATAAAGCCAAGCACCTCTTTGGAAGCACTCCCAGGGCTTCTATTCACAATTACAAACCGAGGAAGTGCTAACCACTGCTGACAGAGCTTTGACAGTTTTATCTGCCGACTGAAACGTAGGTACGCAAAACGTCAAGTCCACAGCTAACGTAAAGCGCAACGCCCCCGCCTTGTCGGCCAACGAAGCGATTACATATAAACAGTGCGTAGCCAGACAGATGTACTTCACCGCCCATGATGTCCTGAGACAGCCACGTGTCAGTGAATGCAAGTATATGGGGATGAGACTCATCTACCAGCAGATCTATCTCGCACATCTTATTGCTTAGCACTATCTGAAGGCACTCGTAATGTCCAGCCCTTGGTCATGCGCTACTAGGACTGATACTGGTAGGGCGGAAAAAGACCGCCGGCTGACCACCCGAAAACCCACCAACCGGAGATCCTGTTCACCGGCCGTTCGCCTGGTTTTGAGGTCCTTGATGGCCTCTTTTAGCTTCAGTCTATGCGCTAGCGGGAGGTCTGGTTGAACGCTGACATTAGTACTCTTCAGTATAAAAACAAACCGCAACAGCGCGTTGCGTTCCTCCGGGGTGG